TGCTTACCAACATAAGGGGCTCGTCTTCCTGCACCGCATCGGACAATGTCTCTCTGCTATTCATAAGGTTTTCCTTGGCCAGTTCTTTGAGAAGTGGATGGCCTCTTCCTTCTTCCTAGTCTGTCTCAGTCTGTAAGCTGTGCTGAAACCTCTGCACCATGTGCAACGCTGCTGGTATTTGAAACACTGGTTTCCTCAAGCCCCACAGCAACACACAAGCCACCACAGTATGACAAATAGCAGACAAGTACATCTCCCTTAGTTGTTCTAAACCTCTCTGCCCTCCCCTTACCTGAATCCTACCTGGATCCTGCTGCTTTGTCATCCCCGGCATTCTCCTCCCTTTCCTGCCTCTGGGGTGGAGCCTGTCTCCCCATGATGCTTTTGAATAAGTTTTAGTTCTTATCTGTTAGACATGTAATTCATAGTTAATGTTCAATCTCAGCCTTATTTTAAATTTCTCGACTATTTGTCACAGGGGAAATATCAATGGACAACACTTTTGTCCATAAAGGACCCAGCTGTCTGATTGGAATTTCTTATTTCCCACTTACCCTGTGGGAGGGTGAAAGAAGAGAGAAATGAAAAAGATAAACTGAAAATAGAGGAAATGCCCAAGATGAAATTTTCAGAATTTCTTGGTGACAGAGGGAAAAAGCAGGTGTTTCTTTTGCAATGATTTCTCAACATTTTTGAGATTACAGGCTGCTTAAGTAACCCATGAAAAACATTGTGTACACTTTCAAGAGGTTCACATGCCTACTGAAAGTCAATCATACACCCCATATAAATAATTGTATTGAGCCTGGACAAAGTAATATATCTAAATTATTGCTCAGTGCAAAAAGATATCTGTGAATTATCTCTATATACTCAAGATTTTCCCTTCTCAAGTAGCCAAATTGTATAAATGAGTGTATCTCATTTTTATAATGGTGGATTTTCAATAGCCACATTTGCATGTAGGAAGACCAATGAAAAGTTGATGTTTTTGAGTTGTGGTGTTTGCCAGAAGAACTAACAAATCTGTTTTGGAAGGGCAGCCAGAAGTCTCCTTGGAAGTGAGAATGGCCGGATTTCCTCTCACCTACTTTGCTCATGTTGTCAGAAGGGCCATTCTCTGGAGAAGGATGTCATGTTTGGTGTTCTGGTTACCTAGTGCTGCTCTGACAAGACTGTACCACAAACGGGATGGCCTTAACAAACAGGAGTTTATTCTCTTACAGTCTGGAAGCTATAAGTCCAAGTTGAAAGTGCCAGGCTCTAGGGGCTGGGTGAAAGCCCCTCAACCTTGAGCTTCAGCTCTGCCTCCTGCTCCTGGCCCACTGAATCTGGAGACTTTTCTTCACTCAGCTGCTGACTGCTGAGGCTGTCAAGCCCAAGGTTGACAAGTAAAAAGGCACAGTCTCAATGTTACCAAACCACACAACAGGCCATTAATTCAAGTCCATTGAAAGTCCTGAGGTCGGCGGAGCATGGCAGGCTGCTGAAAAACGACACGGCTACATGCAGGGTTCAAGAGTGCCATAAGCTACAGACTATCCCCAAGGCTTCTCCCTATAAAAAAGAAGCAGATCATGTCCCTAAGGCAGCTAGCTACTCAGTGGCTCACAGTGAATCCCATTGTGGAGTTGATTGCCAGTCTCATCTTGGGGAATACTACCTCCAGGTGCCCAGCCACTCAACCAGGCCTAGACAAGTTGACACACAAAATTAACTACCACACTTGGTAAAGTGGAGGGTCAGCAAAAAAATGAAGGCCCTCAACAAAGTGGATTTGACACAGTGGCTGCAGTGATAAGCTCAGATGTAGCGGGGATTGTGAGATTGGTGCAGGACCAGGAAATATTTAGTTCTCTTGTACATAGGGTCAGTATGAGTCAGAGCTGACTCGAAGGCACCTAATAACAACAGCAACAACAGAAACAACTCAGAGTGAAGTTATTTTAATTTATAGGAATTTCAATAATTTTTTTTTTTCTTTAATGACCTTGCAATGAAAACATATTTTGCAAGTTCATATTTAGCCAAGAGCTTAAGTAGAAAGATCCTAATGGTAAGATTCAGGTGGGGTTGATTTTAAAAGTTCTTGAAAGTCATTTTACTTATCTTATTAGTTTTCTCTTTCCTTCTATTCTTAACCTTTTTAAACAGCTCCCACCCCAAATTTTGTGGTCTTTGTGTCTTCTAACGCTATCCTTTTATTAGCTGTTCAACTTCCAGTAGTGGTAGCATTATTTCCTCCAGGTGTATTCCCACCAATGTTATCATACAGTGTTTCATTTGCATGTTATAATACTATTGGTTAAAATTAAATGAGTCAGAGTTGTGAGGTGGAACCACAGTTAGACATAAAAAACATTTTCAATGTCAGAGAACACTATTATTTAAAATTAAAAAACTTAAACTTCATTGCACATCTGAAGGTCACTGACTTTCAGAAATAGGTAGTGGATTGGTAAATCTTTCTATACATTTACTACCAAGAAATGATAATGTAATATATGATGACTAATGCAACAATGTTTTGAAGATTCATTGATATAACTACACAATTCAATTTTTTGGTATCTACTCTAATTATGACATAGTAGTAAGAACTGGTTCCAGCCAGAAACTGAAGCATATGCATTTGACAAGAAAACTGCATATTACACAGTGAGCAAAATATATAGTAACAGATATACTCTCAATTAAGTTTCAATAAGTAGGTTTAATACAAATTCCACAACTTATGTTGTACTCTCTCTAATGATTTTTTTATTATTATTAAATACCTAGGCCTTCAAAGAAAAATAACTGAGATGTAACACATCTCAGGTATCAGGGTTGTGCTTATGTTAAAACAAACAAATAAACTCAAAATAATCCCTTCTTCCATATCCAGTGGAACATTTATGAATGTTTTAAGTCAATTGCTTGAGGATTGGATTTTAAGATATCAAAAAGAACTGTATCCATTATTTAAGAAGTATCACTAGTAAAGAAAAATATCCATAGATATGTGGTACTTTTACCAAAATATAATTCTATATGATTATAGGCACGTTTACTACATAGAAGTTACTGAAGTCTTAAATTATTACACCAGAAGTAGGACAAGGGCAGTTGAAATGATTCCCATTTGGTGATTTTGGCTTTCTGAAAAACAGCTGTGAGGTAGTATTAATCATTGGGGATCAATATGAATACCAGGCTTTCATGAGAAATATGGATGTTGACCTTAGTACATCTTCAAGTGTGTAATACAGAAATATTTGTACAGGTGATTTTCTGCTGAATTAGATTTCCTTTATATACGTTCTCATACCATTTTGTACTTTTTAACATTAAATCTTTAATACTATTTTTTAACAACTTTATACTAAAAATTTTATGTGATGGCAATTTTCATACACACAGACACAAAAAAATGTGTAATTGCTTCACAGTGGTTATTTTCATATCCAGCTACTTAGTCAGTGATGTTAATTGCATTTATATGCTTTGAAACCTTTTTTCTATTATGAATAATTTTGAAATTAATAAAGCTTATTGCTTAGAATAAATTCCCATAATTATTAGATTAACACGTTTGAAAATATTTAAAGCTATTGATAAATACCATATTTTTTCAAGAAAGAAATATAAAGTTTCTTTACTAGAATTACAGAAAGAGCAACTAAACTGAATTCATACCTCTCATTTAAAAATTATTGGTGGCCCCCAATTTGCTATGGGTATTGTTGCAAAGTAATTTTCTAAGGTGTTTGTATTAAATGTAACAATGTGACATATATTAGTGTGGTAGTTAAGGTTGTGTGCCATCTTGGCTGGGCCATGATTCTGAATGCAGCTGAATGTGGTTAATTCCCATGATGAGACTGGATGTTGTGTAATCACCTGCATGGTGGAATCTGCTGTGAGCAGTTATTCAGTTGAAGGAGAGCTGCCTTCCACATGTGGCCTACTTCCAGGATATACAGAAAGGATCCTGCATTTGGTTTAATCTTCATCTGGGACTTGAACCAGAGGCCTGCTATGCTGCCTGCCCATCTTAGGATTGTTGCCTCAGCAGCCTGTGAGCCAATCATCTGACATTTTACTTGCCAATCCTGGATCCATCTGCCTCAGCAGCCAGCAGCTGTGAGTCAGGAGAAGCCTCCAACTTGCTCCAGTGCCTGGAAGGCAAAGCTGCAGCCCAAGGTCAAGTCCCCTATAGCTGGCACTCAGAATTCAGACTTCCTAGCCTCCTAAACTTTAGAGAGCAAGCTTTTCTTTGTTGAAACCACCCACTTATAGTATTTCTGTTGGAGTATCACTAGTGAACTAAGAGAGTTAGTCATATTAAGTTCAAAGCTGCTCACAATAGCAGATTTAAGCTTTAATATGACTAAACAACAAATGACGGCTCTGAGTGTGTCTAAATGTTGAGCCCTCTGGCCTTTGTCTTTTACTCTGCATTCCTCTGTATTTGAAGTGTTTCCTGTGATTGCCAGCCCTCAGAACCTTTTGGAGACTGAGTCCTAAGATCTCCTTCGAGTTTCTATCTGTTTGAGCTAGGGTTACGAGGAAAAGAAAAATAAGTGTGAAACTGGAAAAAGAGTCCTGGGATGATTTTGTAGGGGTCCCAAGATCAGGAACTTACCAAGTCATCATAGAGGGAAACGGGAAAAGGTCAGTGGGAAGAGATGGAACAAAACACAGACAGACTCATATGACTCACACATCAATATTAAAAAAAAAAACAAAGACCCTGCATCAAGAAAGAAAAATATTAAATCCAAGGTAGATATTTGGGTTGGGGGGAAGTATTTTTTGGTTGTTTTGATATTTTGCTGTTATCTATAACAGAACACTTTTAGACAATTCAAAATATGTTAAAAACCTGCAAACAAATTAAAATTATTTAAATTGATATATATGCGTATTTATTTATGTTTTACTCTGTTATACTTAAGGTGTTACAAGTTAGACTCAACTTGATGACACCTACCAACGCATATTTATTTATTTTCTAGGAAACGCAACTTAATTCACTACAAGAAAATCTGTTCTTAGCTCAAGAGTATCAGAAGGCACAGGACCTCTTCTTAAGAGAAAAGGAGAAATATTTCAATATGTATGTTCGACAGTTGTCACTTGATGCTTCAATTAGAGATACAATACAGGTATTTTATTTTACTTTATTTTTTCTTGTGTGTTTCTTCTTAAATAATTGTTTACTTGAGATAAATGAAAAAGTAAGCTATGGTGAATTGTGGAGTCTCCAATCTGAGTGTCAAACTAACCTGACACAAAACAGCATGCTTTCTTTTTTTTTGTTATGTTTTGTTTTATATTATTATCAACCTATTGAAATGAAATTTTTAAAATATATTTGAAAAATGAAAGACTTCCTGTTAATCTGCCATTTAATACTAATTGCTGTTTAAATTTTTTTGACCTAGCATATCAATTTTTTGTGGTTTATAGTACTACTATACACTTCAAACTTCAATTCTACGTGTAAGTGACTCCCAAAAACAGACCTCTAAATCTCCACTAGATGTTGTTGTTGTTGTTGTTGTTAAGTGCCATCGAGTCCTTTCCGACTCATAGTGACTCCATGCACAGCAGAACGAAACACTGCCCGATCCCGCGCCAGCCACACAATCCCTGCTATACTTGAGCCCATCATCGCAGCCACCGTATCAATCCATTTCCTTGAAGACCTCCCCCTCTTTCGTCGACCCTCCACCCTACCAAGCATGACATCCTTCTCCAGGGAATGGTCCCCTCTGACAACATGACCAAAATAGGTGAGACGAAGTCTGGCCATTCTTGCTTCCAAGGAGCATTCTGGCTGCACTTCCTCCAGGACAGATCTGTTAGTTCTTTTAGCAGTCCATGGTACTTTCAGCATTCTCCGCCAGCACCACAACTCAAAAGCATCAACTCTTCTTCGGTCTTCCTTATTCATTGTCCAGCTCTCACATGCATACGAGGCGATTGGAAATATCATGGCTTGTGTCAGGCGCACCTTAGTCCTCAATGACATATCCTTGCTCCTCAGCACTTGAAATAGTTCCTTCGCACTTGACTTTCCCAATGCTACACGTCGTCTAATGTCCTGACTGCTGCTTTCATTGGCATCGATTGTAGAACCAAGCAACATGAATTCCTTGACAACCTCAATCTTTTCTCCATCTCTTGTGATGCTGCTCATTGGTCCAGTTGTGAGGATTTTTGTTTTCTTTATATTGAGACGTAATCCACACTGCAGACTGTATTCTTCAACCTTCATCAGTAGGTGCCTTAAGTCATCCTCACTTTCAGCAAGCAAAGTTGTATCATCTGCATATCTCAGGTTGTTAATGATTCTTCCTCCAATCCTGATACCATGTTTTTCTTCATATCGTCCAGCTTCTCGGATTATTTGCTTAGCATATAGCTTGAATAAGTGTGGAGAAAGGATACAACCCTGACACACTCCCTGCTTGATTTTAAACCATGTAGTGTCCCCTTGTTCTGTTCAAATGACAGCCTCCTGGTCAAGATACAGATTCCTCATGAGTACAATCAAGTGCTCAGGAATTCCCATTCTTCTCAATGTTATCCATAATTTGTCATGATTCACACAGTCAAATGCCTTTGCATAGTCAATAAAACACAAGGAAACATCTTTCTGGTATTCCCTTCCTTGAGCCAAGATCCATCTGACAACAGCTATGATATCCCTTGTTCCACGTCCTCTTCTGAATCCGGCTTGAACCTCTGGAAGTTCTCTGTCCATATACTGCTGCAAACGTTTCTGAATTATCTTCAGTAAGATCTTACTTGCGTGCGATATTAACGATATTGTTCTATAATTTCCACATTCTGTGGGATCACCTTTCTTTGGAATGGGCACAAATATGGATCTCTTCCAGTCAGTTGGCCAGGTAGCTGTCTTCCAAATCTCTTGGCATAACTGAGTTGCCTCCAATGGGACATCTGTTTGTTGAAATATCTCAATCGGTATGCCATCAATTCCCGGAGCCTTGTTCTTCGCCAGTTCTTTCATTGCAGCTTTGACTTCTTCCTTCATTACCGTTGGTTCTAGATCATATGCCACTTCCTGAAATGGAGGAAGATCGATCAGTTCTTTTTGGTACAGTGACTCTGTGTATTCCTGCCATCTTCTGTTGATGTTTCCTGCATCATTCAATATTTTGCCCATAGAATCTCTCACTATTGCAACTCGAGGCTTAAATTTTTTCTTCAGTTCTTTCAGTTTGAGAAATGCCAAGCGTATTCTTCCCTTTTGGTTTTCAGACTCCCGGTCTTTGCACATTTCATTATAGTAATTGGTTTTGTCTACTCGAGCTGCTCTTTGAAATCTTCTGTTCCACTGGATATATGAGCTCCTAATTTTGTTTCTATGTTCTTATTAGATATATAGAATATTTAGAAACTTGGGAGAAATATCTGTTCCTTTCTGGTTACTGGGGATCACTGGGAATTTTGAGGACATTTTTGTAAAATCTGTGTAATGGTAAAAGTGAAAAGGAAAGCACACCTGTGACACAGATAAAGAAGGAAGAGAATGTGCCATTACTAAAGAGTTGAGCTACAGCCACTTCCCGTATATTCTTCTCCAGGTTCTCAGTGACAAGAAAAATCATTTCCCTTGAATCCTTGTTTCTTCTCCAGGATTCAAATTTCAGGAAATAGAGGAATGATTACTTTCTAACAATTCCCCTAGCCACAAGAATCAGTAGACTGCCGTTTGATCCTTTTTCCTTGTGGTATCATACACACTGTTGTATTATAAATTAGTAGCTGAGAATTCCACTACTACACCTATCCTTGGCAGTTGACTGGTAACCAGAAGGCTGGCAGTTCAAACCCACCAGCCACTCCTTGGAAGGAAGGTTGAGCAATCTACTTCTGTAGTGATACCACCTCAGAAACCCAAGGAGGGGTCGCTATGAGTTGGGTCCGACTTGACAGCACATACCAGCAACAGCTACACCTATCCTTCATCAAACCAGTTGCCATGGAGTCGATCCTGACTCATGGCTGCCCTGTGTGTGTAAGGGCAGAATTGTGCTTGACAAGGTTCTCAGTGGGTGATTTTCCAGAAATAGATTGCCAGGCCTTTCTTCTGAGGCACCTCTGGGTGGACTCAAGCCCCTAATCTTTCAGTTAGCAACTGAGCAAGTTAATTGTTTGAGCTTCTTAGGGGCTCCTTCATTACTGTATAATATTGGGAATGGAGAAACCCAGGATTTGAATGCAGACTCTCCCATTTATTAGCTAAGTATCCACAGCAAGTCATTTACCCTTTCTAACCTCACCCTTCTCATCTGTTAAAAAAGATTTACTTTGTAGAGTAATTGATAAGGAATAAGAAAGAGATACCCATAATAAATTACATTAAAAATAAAGGGATGCTATGCTATTGTGGAGTCCCTTGGCATTGCAAGTGTTTAACACTCTTGGCTGCTAACAGAAGTTGGAGATTCAAGTCCACCCAAAGGTGTGAGAAGAGAGGTCTGACAATGCATTTCTGAAAAAACAAGCCATTAAAAACCACTTGGGCAATCTACTTCCATAGTAATACTGCCTCAAAAACCCAAGGAGGGGTTGCTATGAGTTGGAGATGACTCGATGGCACATAACACCAACAACGACAACATTTACCATAGTCTACTCTCTCAGAGTCATCACAAGTCAGAATCAACTTCAGGGCAACTAGTTTAGGCAACTGTAACTACTACATTCATCTGTTGTGCTGTTTTTCAGTTCCACCCACTTTCATAATAGATCAAACTTTTGTATGTATTGGGGAAAGAAGGGTATATTTTTCTCTAATATTTTCATATAAAATTGACAAGATTAATGTGGATCAAGAAATAAGCATTTTGGGGAAAAGTTGCTAAACTCCTAGTGTCTTCATGCCACACCAGAATTAATGAAGGTCGTCAGTGTGTCCGTGGAACATTTGTCTAAATCACTTCATGCATTTGACACTGTTATTGAGATTAAACATGTTCTATTTGTTGCTGATAATTGAGGAGGAGAAAACAATCAATGGCTGTACTGTGTTTCCTTTTTTATTTCCTTTTCTGATCAGGGAAAAAGTAAAATTTTATGTTATATTGATAACACTTGTTATCAATCTGTACAGACAAATATACTGCATATCTTCATAAATAGTGAAGAACTCATGCCTTTAAGAGAAAGCACTGACATAATATTTCCATTGCAAAAATATAAGAACAAAATTGTTTTGATCTCATTTTTTAAATTAAAGCCAATTTTTGTGCAAGATACAAGGAGTGACCCTGGTATGAACAGACAGATAATGGGGCATGCTTGGAGATTGGGTTTCTGTTTGCGATCTCTCAAACGAATCATTTTTACCACACCTGTTTCAGGAAAACTTTCAAAGATTTATTTGTACTTCCAATCATTTTTCATTTCCATCCTTCAGCGATGGAGGTCATTAAGTGCAGGCTGCCCTTGTCAGTGTCATGTAGGATCAATTTGCTGAAATGGACAGAAAGGCCTTATTGATGCTGTTAAATCTGTCAGAGAGGAATCGTATGTCATTAGCGTCTAATGCACTGCTTACAGGATGGAATTTGGCCATCAAAAATGAGAAAACCCTTTAATATTTTAGTCCATTTCCTTGATATTGCAGCATTTCTGGTCTATATGGGTTCTAGCCCTTGGACCAGTTTTGTTTGGGGTACTCAGAAGCACCATTCCGCCTCTAATATCTCTGCAAAATTTCCTAGTCAGATAAAATGGATCTCACCTGTAGGAATTTTGTGTGTCATTTTCCTGTTTTGACTAATTTCATTGCTTCTATACCTGCATTCCTTTTGGAGTGGTGAATATTTACATTTTAATTATTGTGCTATTTAGGAAGCATTGTTTTTCTGCACTTTCAGTCTCTGTACTTTTAGGCCAAGAGTACTGCAAAGAAAGCTTAATTGAAGACTTTTAATTAAAAATAAAAAATAATGTTCCATTATGTAACACAATTTTATATATAGAATGCTCAAATGTTATGGAACTCATCTCTTGGTATGCTTTGTTTGCACATATTTCATGATGCTTCCCTGTACGTTTTATATTTGGGGCAATAGAAGTGTGTGTGCCCCTTTAAAAAATCGGAAAGACACACAGACAATCATGC